TCAACAATGAAATTTACAGATGATTTTAGATTCCGAGCGTAACAAGGATAATGCACCAGTTTTACAATTACGTTTATTTTATTTTTTCGTTAGGTATTCTATCATAAATCTACACAGTGGTCCACCCACCGCGCGAAGTATGTCTGCATTTTTTTTTTTCTGTCTTTTGTGTATTTCTCTTTATACGGTGAACGATGATCGAAAGCGTGAAAAAAAAAAAACCAAAAACTGTAACTTGTTTCCGCGAGATGAGTACACCTGAGTTAATTACAGGTAACGATAGGTTATAATAAATCAAATTTCGTTTTTTGAAAGGATAATACTATAATACAGGCCGCGTCCACATTTAGAGTTTTACCGTGTATAAAAATAATCTGCTGTGCGGTTTTTTAATTGAAGTGAATATTATTTCTATGTGGGAAAATCTGTTTACAGGCAGGACGGAAAGAAAAATGAACAGCAAATGCGCATAGTGAAACTATTAACAGTATTTCCGCTATACGTCGAAAATCTAAAATAATATTTAGAGGCATATTGATAAATAATTCATGTCCGTAAAATAATAATAATTATTTCCTCGACACACTTTACGTGGTTTGTAAAATTAATAGCTTCCTCGTTCTGTTCGGCAGATTTTAAAATAACCCTTAACAACAACTGTATACCAACTATCCTGCCCGCCGGTTTTATTCGTACCCACCAAATATAATTTATAATTAAATATATTATCCGCGCGGGCGTAATAATTGTTACGGAATGAGAACGGACGATAGAGATAGTTTCCCGTGCGGTTTTCCCATTTCAAACGGGTCGCTGCTGTACGTTCACTGTCCTTTTTCCATAATGATACGGGTATACCTACCGTCCGCGTTTGTTTTGCTTGTTATCACTTTTATCGGGGATCGAAAAGGTAGATACCTACCTATGTATTATAATACGTGTTATTATTATTTGTTTCGCCGATAGACCGTCCCAGAATTATTTATAGTACGGAAATAATATGAAACGACGCGCACACGCAAAGTACCTAATTTCGTGCATTATAATCAGTGGTGGTGGTGTTCCAATCAAATTCGTTGAGAATATGCGACAACATCGAACGCTGTACACGGCGTATTTCGTAACTTCACACGCATGGTTTATACTGTTTATAGGGGAACAGATATAAATTGTACGAAAATTAAATTCGAATTACGAAAATTGTGAATTCGTTAAGTTATAATTACTGAAAAAAACACAATTCGTATTGTTATTGTTATAGCTTTAAGTCGCGTATCACGGACAATGATGACAATACGTCATAAAGATTTTTTTTTAAAAACTAATTGAGAACATAAGTTACTACGCAGTATACTTACTCGTAATTTTGAATATTCTTAGAATATATCATTTTTTTTTTCGCACACTCTATGGCGGTGTTTAATGTCACGACTCCCTAAATGAATATAAAATTTATTTTGTGATCCCTAAATATAATATGTCTTATACGCGGCGACCCAATTGGGTCGAGAAACACTGCCCTATGGGAACACCAATGGTTATAATATTATTGTTGATTAAGTTTCGTCACATAGTTTTACATGGGTCTTTTTGTTTGGGTCGGGGGTCAGTCGAAAAACCGCAACACATTTATTGTAATATTGAAAACGTGATGATAAGCGTCGTGATCTAGCGTTTTTCACAGTTCATAATTTAATAGTATTTTGATTGTTTTTAATAAATAAGTATAAATGTATAAAATCGAATTTATATTTCCCTGGTGATAAATTATTATATAATACGTATTACTTATATCACTTACAGCATACAAATAACTGAAATAGTTGTTTCGTATTAACATGGATTTCATGCAGGGAATCCATCAGGAATTAACGTCATTGGTTGTATTACACACGATTATCTTCGGTTCCGCAGTATTGTGAAAAAACCGGAATGTATAAGTGAAGAAAAGGTTGGGGAAAACGAAAACGCTAAAACGATTGAAAAGGAAGTTGAAGATACATTTAAAATTGAAGATTTAATTTTTTTTAAATTTTTTTTTTTTTTTTGTGAGCCCAAAAATACTTTGATGACACTATGTTTGTTGGTGGAGAAAATTTGTTTTCAACGAGACGGGGTCGGTTTTTTTCTCCATTCGCCAGACAAAAAAAAAAAAAAAAAAATGTTAAATAGTACAACGTAGCCCTATCGTCTTTTTCGAAATGATAAAAGACGCAATCATCGTATGTATAGTTTTTACAACTCAATAAAAGATCAAAAGCCACATAGCCAGTTGTAATATTTTCGAAATGTCTGATGTTTAAGATGCTTTGAAATATTGTTTATTTATGATAATATTCACAACCTATACGTACAGTGGAACGTCTTATCGATAATTGTATTAACATTTCATAAACGTCGAAACCAAATAGGTTTAACTTGTTCGTGTATACATATTTTATTATGCAGCTTTATTTGAATATTATTAACAATATCGTAGTTTGAACATTCCGTATACAATTCGTGTACGATAACATTCGGATTCCAGAAATACATAATATATAACTCGTATTTTGATTCGTTGATACAATATTCGTATCGTTTCGTTGCCGCGTAACGATATTAATAATATTATAATATATTATGTGTTGGCACCCGTATTAAATTTTTTTATTTACTATATTATCAAAGTTTATTTTCGTCTTGAAGGGGGCCAAAAAAAAAAAAAAAAACAAAAAAAACCGTAACTTAAAACATACGCGTTTTACGTGTCAAAAACCGGTATGTTTGTTTTACCACACGTCGCTCTGACCGGGAAATGTTCATTGACGTCAATTATACGACTATACCATGATAATAATAATAATAATATACCTACCTATAGTAGTAGAAAGGCGGTGAAAAAACATTTATTTTTTATTCATAATAATGTTCTTGTGAATAAGCGTATAGTGACATAAAAAAAATTAATTATTTATTTACGCTCGTCGGACATTTATCCGAGAAATATTATTAAAAATAATAATAATAACGGTTTTAAAATGTTGTATACAAACAAAAAAAAAAAAAAATGTTTTTTATAAATACACTCGTGTCGAATAATATTCGAACGTAAACACAATAAAGGAAAATCTCGAAAATCCATTTTAGATTCCTTGATAGATTGCATTTATTTTACTACAAAGTGTGCTTTTTTTTTTGTGTGCAAGTTTAAATCGCACAACAGAAGTCTAGTGTGGATCTTCAAGCATTGCATTTTTTCTGAAAGTAAAATTTATGTTTATTTGGTGTATCGAAATAGTTGGTTTTTCGGGATGATAGTTGTTTTCATAATAATTGAGAAAACCCGGTAAAAATCATAGAAAAAAGTAGACAGATTTACGTAAAAGAGGTTTTCGTTATTTCAAAATTTGCAAAACTTTCCGACGATGTTTGAGCTATTATATGGAATTTGTAAGTTTCGTTTTATTTTCGGTTGACGTTCTATTGAAATTAAATTGAATTTTACTGAATGGTTTTAGATACAGAACGTAGCAAGAAATGTAATGGTTTTACAATAACGCTTATTATTTTATTTTTATTCTGTTTTCTACCGGAAATCTTGTTCTGATGTATCAAGTGTAGCAATTTTTATGAAAGAAAATTGTATCTATTTGGTACTTTAAGCCGTTCATTTTGTGATTATTCAAGCGGTTTTTATAATGTTTGGGGGAAAACATAGGAACAACGGAAAATGTACGAAATTCATTATTTTTAAATCGTAAATATTACGGCCTTTCAATACATGTATGCTTGGATTAGTTTTTCGTTAGCAAAGATAAAATTAGAAAAATTCATATTTTTTGATTGGTGTAAGATGTTCAGTAAAAAAAAAAAAATACACTATTTAACAATCAATACATTCATCGCTTCACTCTGTTTTTGTTCCTTGAAAACCTTATATCATATATACGTTATACAATTAATAATTTGTAAAAGTAAAAACTTTATAGACTATAGTCTGGGAGAGCCGAGGACCCAAGCCCCTCATCTGGATTCGTATAGTAAATTCAAACTATTAGAATTTTCAAATACTAAGTTTTTATATATTATGTGCTCGCGAAATTACTTCTTCTGTATTTTTTTGGAAAAACTCTTTTCATTTCGGTTCGTTTCTGTAATACGGATAATACGAGTACCTATATGTACCGTCTCTTGAACTCGAGAAAGTAACAATTTCGTCGGTACAAGAATAATAAACTATTTTAAATTTATTATTGATGATACGTGTCGATGAATAATAATAATAATAATATAATAATACCCGCAAAATGTTGAATCGAATTTACCGACCGATAACAATAATTGAATTTCGTTTGGTAAATTTACCGAACGTAGACGTTCAATTTTATAGCTCAAAGTCACATAGTCTGAGTTTTAGAATTTGCAAAAATATTGGCCCCAATGCGTTTTCTTCGTTGTAAGTTGATTAGTGTAATCGTAGTATTGAATCTTTAACGGGTCACGGGAAAATCAAGATTGCTCGCATTCAAATTACCCAAACGCACGTTAAATCAACATTAAAAGGGAAAAAAACACTTCTTTCCCAGCAGTACGTATTAACGTCCGACCAAAAATACGAATAATTTCAAATGAAATCAATTTCTTAATTATAATATCAGGGTACGTGTTTCCACGGTAATTCTATGGCACTCGAGTAAAAAAGTGCACAACTAAAAATGTGAATTCTTGCATCAAGACTTGAGACCAATGTGACACTATTCTTAACGTGATGAATACGAATCAATCTAACTGACACAACCGCTCTCTGCGGATAATTTGTTCGTTATTGATGTGACGTTATTCCTGAATTTGAACACTTTATTTTTTATACGAATTTATGTTTAAAAAGAAAGAGGGTCATATTTGAAAATCAAACGTGTACACTCATTTAAGGTATAAATAATAGGGGAAAAATCAATTTAAAAAACTGCATAATGATAGAGAAAAAACAAAAATAAAATTCACTTAATATTCTCCGAGATATTTTCTGGTGCGTGATAAACTTATTTAGCATAGGTATTATCGTATATTTGATGTATACTGTATAAACTAAAATGTGTACGTTGCGAATTTAATTAATAAATGTTAATAATCTCTATAGAAATTTATAAAACGCATGGTTGAATATAATTTGTTATAATCAAGCAGGGAACAGAATAACATTTTTAAAAATTGTAAAGGCGTGGTCGAAAGTCAGTTTTGTAAACCTAAAAAATTCGTTCGACGATAAGATCCGCGATGAGTGTGAGCAAAGCGGCAGCAGTGTTTAACGTTTAACGTTGTCCGTTTAAAGTTTTTGACTTAAAACGGTTTAGTGACCACGACGGCACCCCGTAAATCCCATTGTAGGTATTACCGTGTAAAAACAACACGTATGTACGAAAGGGATGCAATTACCGAGCAGGGATCCTACCCCTACGGCTTTTTAACCTCGAGTTGTGGTCCTGAAACGTATATTTTCGGATTTTCCAACAGAAACAAATTCCGATTCGTCTATTGTGTACCAGTAGTGTGCGTAGAAAATTTTTGATAACACACGCCCTCCCTACATTACTTTAGAACTACGAGTATTTATTTTTTAATGTTATGTATCGCAGTCAAGTTGCAAGGAAATCAAGTTTGATTTAATACATACCTGGTGTTTTTGAATGATTCTTGAAACGGCAACATTAGCTCTTTATAATATTCTATAATATTTTGAAGTTCAATATTTGCGTTAAACAAAATGGAATCATCGACATAAAAAAACGAAAGAAATCGGAATTCGAGAGATAGGAAAAGCGTAAAACCTAGAAAATCAATAAACGGAAAAAAAAAACTAATGACGGGTGCGTAACTATTGTAGGTAGGAAATTGCGAAAGTAGGATACACAGAGGTTTAATAAATTTATATCTGTATGCAATGATATATTATTGCTAACAAAATACGATTCTGAGTAAAGTTCGGCTAAACATGTTTTGAAAGGCTATCATTTTTTACGATTTTCGTTAGAATTTGAATTTAAATGCTAATGCATGTATGCTCTTTTAAAGACAACCCATAATAAACTATTCGGAAGCTATCATGAAAGTCAAATTACTAAAAATCCACAGAATATATTATATAATATTAAGAATATTCAGTGATAATGTCAGGTCTCTAAGATTATTTCTACCTCAATTATAACGAAAAAACTGATCGAAAATTATATAAATATTAATATTAAAAATTAATTACGTTAACGAGGTTTTTCTAAGTTTTTATTCAATTTTGAAAAAACTCCTCAAATAATTAAAAATTACTCCCTCCATATAATAATGGGAATAACAAGATCCAAAATAAACACAGAAAAAACTTCCTTAATTTTTTTATTGACACATAATTTCTGGCAGAAAAGTTGTTCACAGGCAGATTAAGAAAAGTAAGAAAAAAAATATATTTACATTATGGTAAAACGTATGCGTTCCTCGGTACGTTTGGAACCTAATATTTAAAATACCGAAACGCCCTTCTTATACAATAACTAAACAACGTTTTTTTTTTAGAAATGATTCTTCTTTTAAAATTTTAGGAAAGATTTTCGGTAGGAAAACAAAATCGAAAATAATAAAACTTTTACTGCCGTAAATTTATTCGTTTCTCCAAATTATCATGAATATTATTTGGAAAATCAAATAAGTATTTTTCTAATGCAACAACTAGCTTCAAAATACTACTAAAAAGCTTTATTTTGGTTTTTTGATTCGAGAGAGATTTTTCGTTGAAAATTTAGTAACAAATATACAGACAAAAACAGGAATAAAAGAAATAAACAAAAACAAAAATCGTATACATCAAAGCTATACCGCCGCGCTGGTGTGTTCGAACAATACAATACCGTGAATAATTTATAGCGTCAGCTCTTTCTTTTTTTTTTTTTCTTGATCAGAGATCACATCGAACGCAAAAAAAAACCCCTACGCATGGTGAAAAGCAGCCCTTCGAGTCGGGCAACAAAATCTCGAAATGTGATGGAAAGTTATATTTTTTTATTTTGCCAAAGGGTTTCACGCATTCGGCTCACGTAATCTGAAACATATATATAGTGTGCGGTGGTCGTCGATGCTGCTGCTGCTGTAGTACTCAAATTTCCCGGACGAACCCGCCGTCGGTACACGGCGTGTGTGTTTGCACCGCTTTCTCGACCCGCCGAACCCTTGGATGGTGGTATAGGTGAGAATGGGTAAGGGGAGGGACGGAGTACACGGCTCAAAACTCTTGCGGACCCGCACATTTTTCACCGACCCTTATAATACGAACTGCATGGTGTATGGCATTTAAGAGATCGAAAAATATAATCGCGACGGGTGCAATTTACGAATAAATATAATATAGGTGTACCTTTACATAGTATATATATTGGGGTTGGATTTCTGGATGAAATAATAAAAGAAACTGTGAAATGTTTTTTGATCAAAATCGTAAACGTGTAAAATACCAAGTAGTTATAATAATATAAACTTGCACGGAAAATCGTTAAAAAATTGTAAAAAAAAAAAAAATAAGAAATAAGAAAGCCTGTTATACTTTGCACTATGGACAGACCACTGTTGTATAGATGAGAAATTGAGTATGTAGAATATATTTATAGGGCAATTTAGTTAAGGTACGTAATGCATACTGCAGAAATCGATGAAAAATCAAAATATCCGAAAAAGAGAACCTAAACAGAATGGAATGTTCAACAGTTTAGTTGAACATTTAGGTCGTTTTTAAAAAAATCGCAATTTTTTTTTTAAGTTGATCTTTTTAGAATCTTTAAGAAATTATAATCCATATTTATATTTATATTCAATAAAAAGCAATGGTTATAAATCACTATTTTTGATGTACTGCGCTACCACTATTTTCACTATACTTCTAAAAAAAATGGCGAACCCGAAAATCATCGGTACTTTGTATAAGTGTAGGACACCCACGGTATTCGCTAAAATAGTGGACTAACTTTTTCGACTTGGAAAGGGGAACTTTTTCGATGTTATCAAATTAATAAAATGTAGGGTACTACAGGATAATATAATCTTATCAAATTAAAATATCCTTAAAATAGTGATAAAACTATAAAACGACCGCCTCTGAATAGAGAATTCATTTTGATTTTAAGTCGAATTTTTATGACCTGACCGAGTATTCACAATTTTGTTTTAGCCTAGCGAAATTTACGCAGTTTTCATATTAAAAAGTAGTGTTGCCGTATTATACGCGACTTACTAAAATAAAACCGTGCGCTACCAATATCGCTGCATAAAAAAGTAGCGCACTACTTCCAAGTGAACTATAGCTACACGATACAAATCGTTTGTGCGTGTCGAAAATCGTAAGCAATTTTGATGTTTTATCGACATCATCTCATTTGATCATATATTTGGCGTGTTTTGAATTTAAATTATAATTATTATAACGGTCACTGCGTGATATATATAATTAAAATCGAGTCTAAACAAAAACTTTGGGCCACGTACATTGACAAGGAGAACGTTGCTATTAAAACAAGCCATAATGTTCAGGTATATCCACAGCCAATTCTAGTAAAAAAAAAAAAAAACAAAAATAAAAGGTTAGTTTCCCGGACTCGGGTAACGATCGGAGTCGAGTGTCGCAACATTCGCGCCGTAATTTATTCCGAAATCTCTGAGTTTTCGTAAGACGGAACAATTTCCGTCAGGGTGATCGGAGTTATTGGGGAGAAAATAAATTCGTATATGGAAAAATATGAATATTTTTTGACCGAATTGCAAAGAATTGATCATATTCGCATGTGCACACGATCAAAAATTATAGTATTTTTTTTTTCTCGCGGACAGCATAATATTTACATTTTCCTAAATGTATAATGCATACACATAAATAATAATGTTATAAACTTTATATACATCAGCATGCAAATTAGAAGAATGTAAAACAATATTAAAATATTTAAATTAATTTCGGAACGTGTAACATATTATAATATTGCGAAAACGTCGAATTTGAATTAAATTAAAATGTTAATAAAATATAATAACCCATAGGATATAACCCGAATATCCATACAATATAATACTTTTGTAACACCGAGTGTCGGGATATCATCTATAAAAACAAAATACTCTACGAAAAGATAATCCAAATAATGAAGTACAATGTCTTTAGGAAATAAGTAGAATGTAGATGATAGATTTTCGCTTCCGCTGAATTGTCTGCGTATTTATTTTTTCAAGTTCTACCGTTCTACCGTATTCGGTCACATCCGTGTTAAATAAACAAAAATAAACAAATAAAATGAATTAACTTTTATTATAATATTCAGTACAACTGACATGTGTCTTGTATAAATATTTATGTGTAGTCAACTTTATCATATACATCTGGAAAAAATATATCGGTTATCTTTCCCAACACTGATTACGACGCTCGCCATTACAATGGATTACTCGATCATCATTATTTCGGATGGAAAATAAAAAAAAAGGTCGATATTTTATCGAAAAAAACCCTACCCATATATAAGTACGAAACGCGAGACAAAACGCAAAGGACCGCTCGAGACGACCGGTGGATTTTCTGCGATATTATACGACGGCGTTGAAAGTGTGTCGGAAACGATAAAAATATGATGTTTCAGCGAAAAAAAAAATGTTTTGCGATAGTAGGTCGACGGTGGCGGAGAACAGTCATTCACAACGTCCTCGCGAAGCACTCGGTTTACGATTTTTTTTTTTGTCGACACGTGCGGAATTCAGGCACTAATGAATATCGCTCGATTAACACGAGTAAAAAAAAAAAATTGTTAGTTTAAACAAGTGGGCGCAAATGTGAAATGGACTTAAAAAATCGGTGGCGCTACATGTACCATTTTGTGGAAGGGGTTCCAAATTCTCAACACAATTTCGTAATAACAATTTATTATAATTATAACAACTTTAGGTTTTTATTTTTAACTATTGCAGTCTTATAATATTTCCCCAAGTTGTTGTTTTAACAATTCGTCGGCAATTTAGATTATAAAAGCAGCCTGATACAAAAAAAAAAGTCACCCGAACGTTTCAAAAGTATTTACAGCCGAGAGATAATAATAACAATTGTTATAAGACTCGAAATTTACGAGTAATTTAATCTAAAAAACTGTGCGCACAATGCGGAGTCTTTGAAAAAAAAAAAAAAATACAAATATCGGTTGTATAAAAACGAATTATTTGCCCCAGGCGACGGAATATGATAATAATGTCGAAAGGACAGCCGAACTTTGTAAAAAACATCGTGCGTCACGGAAGTTGGTTAATAAATGGACGATACCAAGAGGATGAATTATGTATTGATTAATTCATTAACTATTTTGGTTTATGTTATGAATATGAAACATATTTGAAATTAAATTCAAAAAATATAATTTTTCCCTACCATCGCGTGATAATATTATTTACTGCGAAAAAAAAAAATTACATGGCGGTAATCGATGCAATTTGCCCTTATTTTTTATGGATTTCTATCGCGCCGACACACGTTCGGTTCTTTAGTCATAGATACCGTTTGGAGTGGTGCCGGCTGAGAAGTGACTTTTGGGGATCCTATTTTGTAAAAAAAAAATATTATAACTGTCTATATCGCGTAGAAGACACAGCCTGATCTATTATGTCTTATATGTTGCAATTCCACGAAATTGAATTGTCCAATTTCTATTTTAAGAACCCCTTCGTTCCATTGTTATGACAGCAAACCTGAACTTGAATTTTTTTTGATCCTTGATCAACATTCTCGGGACCAACTTTGCTGCAATTCAGCACATCTATAGTTTATCGGGTACAATTGTTTGGCATGGAATGCTCGGTTCGCGACTAATACTATTAGTCTCGGTACATTTTTTTTAACACCCATGTGTTAAATAATTTACTATTATCCCTATAATAATAATAGCAGTGATGCAAATCGTATCAAGGGAAAAAGGGATCGTTTCCAATGTCATGGATCAAGTTTAATGGCCAAGTGAATTGCCTAATTTACAGAATAGATATAAGATGATTGATAAATAATTGCCCATTTTATGAATCGCACAAAATTAGTAGTACCTATATAATATAAACATGTTCACTATTTAAATGTTAAAATTATATTTTTCGTATACATTTAAATTTAGCTATTATAAATGTATTATTATTACAATTAATTATTTGTATAATTTTTTTAAATTAATTGAATAATAATAAAAAAAAAGGACGGGCATACTTCGCACGTGGGTGCAGCCATATTAAAGGCGAGAAGTTGGGAATGTAGGCTAAATACGGAAATTTAATGTATATCTGTAAGTGACCATTGCTAAAGAAAAATCAATTCTGAGCCGTATTCGGCTGATAATGGCTCTTTGTCAACAATACAATATATGGTATTATGTCATATTATGGTGAACTGATTAAAACAATGTGCGTTTCCGTGACAACAATGATTGTTTAAAAAGGGTTAAAAAAATAAAAACTTAACAATAATAAGTAAATAAAAACGGTTGCCAATGTAAACTTTATTTTTAATTTTTCAATCCTTTTTAACCTAAAGACCTAGGTTTTCTTCATTATCTCGAATGTCAAATGAGAATTTCAAAAAATGACCTCCTTAAAGAGAAACCACCCAGAGAAAATTTCCCTTTCAGTTTAGGTGCTTTACTTGATAATCGGAGTGTGCTTTACGGTAGAAAAAGTGATCATAAAAAAATAATAATAATAAACGTCACTGTAAAACCAATACATTCAATACGTTCACTAAGAATCTAAAAAAAAAGAAATTGATCAAATAATAAATTTCAGCATTTTATTTTCCAGAAAATATCTGTAGTAAATAATAAATTTAAAAATATATTAATTATCAAAAAAAAAAAAAAAAACAACCAATCCTCTAATTCCGAAAAAATATTTCTATTCGCACTGTTATTACATGTTCGGTTGTCGTGTTTAGTATTGAGTTATATATTCGAGAATATCAATTAACGGTCCATGAAACAGACAGGATGTTCAAAGTCTGTCTAATTCGCGAAACAGCAAATGTTCTTACTTATCGTACAAATATTGGGCAACTAGTTATCGGTCGGTTTCTCGGAACGGTCAAAGAATTTCCTGTTTCACGAATTTGTCGAGTTCGCGGAATGGGGGTGCAATTTTATTTCTCTACGTATGGTGAGGATAATAACTGTAGTGTTGTTGTTAAAAACGGTAAAAAAACGCTGGCATCAAACACGGAGCGCGATTTCGAACGACGGCGATTCGTTAATCAGCCCGAGTCTCCGAAATGCATGTACATAACATTATTAAAAATATTTTACCGTGTCGAGTCGCGTCGAGTCTAATTGAATCTCGGGCGGGTGGGTAGGTAGGTAGGTAGGTAGGTAGGTAGGTAGGTAGGTAGGTTGGTAGATAGGCAGACGGGTACGTGGGTAGCTATGGCTAACAATAACGTCACCGCGTCTGTATACCCGTATACGTTGTTTACCGTATAATATGTAAATTTATACAATGAATTTCAAACAATAATATACCACACTCGGATTCGTGTGTTTGTTTCTGGAAACCGCAATGGCGGTGTATGCGATGCTGTCGCGGTATAGGACGTAGCTGGGTATACGTACCTATACACGCGTTTCGGTCGGATTAAATTGTTGTTGGCGAAAAAAAAAAAAAAAAACGCAATTTTCCAATCTCGAGCGAAACTTTACACGTCCCTACGTGCGTACTACCCGGAGAAGGTGTTTCCGGGCAAAACAACTTTAAATGATAATTTTAATTCATAATTTTTTTATTTACGTTAAAAATGTTCAGTCATTGTTTTCGCTATAGTAGTTTTGTTCGAATGTTTGATGCGTATTCGAATTTAGATAAAAACGAAAACCGAATCAATCGTTTGTCTTCGTTAACTGGACGTTTATATGGAAATCGACTGTTAAACGTCCAGTTATAAATGGAAACTAAACGAGTCGGGCTTAAAATTTTCGGTTAATAGAAAAAAAAAAAATTAACTAAATAACAAATAAACTGTCTACATAACAAACTCAGTAATAAAAAGTTAAAGTAAAATAAAAGAAAACGTATTTTTTCCAATGGTTTCTTCATGCATCCCCCCTCTCACCTATATTCGAATATAATAGGCATTGGCCGCAAAACGACTATGGCCTACATCGGTTACAGTGATTATTGTCTTTTACGCAACAGAGCGTCCGGAAGTGACCGGAAGTAAAGCTATTGCGGCGTGTTTATCATATCTAGTTACCGAAAATATCAAACGAAAAATAAAACACCGGATATGACCAATATCCGAAACAGCGTCCGGCGATATATATTACGTATCATAATAGCATAATATTTGTAATACAATTATTTTCAAACAGTTTTTAGATTTTTTTTTTTTTAACATTAATTTTTACTAGACGAGGTGTGATCGCGTAGGTTTTTACCGTCTGTTAACAACATTTACACCCGAAATATCACTCCGGATTTCAATGGTAGCATCTTTTCTTAATGAATCTGGGTGTTAATCTAGGCATCAAAAAGGTCATTTTTTTATTTTCCATAGGTATAATTGTCTTGATAATCGGGAGAAACGTAAACGAAACGTAATAGTGTATGGCAATGGCGGTTTAATTAATTTTGGTTTTGGTTTTCAATATGATTCGGTTGAAAATATCAAGTAAGACTCGGGAACAGATGGATATACTCGTATAATTTAATCACGCGGAAAAACCCGCTCGGGACATTTTTATTTTAATTTACAATAAGACAATCGCGGTAAAATTAGATACCTAGTCATTTTCGCTCGGTATTATTGTGCACGGGCGTGAGCAAAACCAAGCAAATCGGTAAAATATTTAGAGAGTTTTAATAATTCGAGAGTAATGGCCAATTAGGAAACAGTTTTCTGTTGGAGGTACTTGCCACGGGGGGTGCGGCTGTTTTGTTATTTCGTCCAATTCTTTGCCGTGTAAATCCGGGGCACCACTGGCTCTATTTGTCACAGCATGTAAACTATCGTTAATCAATGACGACCATTTGTATACTGCGATCACGGAATAAACAAAAAAAAAAAAAAAAAAAAGGGTCGTAACTCTCGTATTTTAGCAATGTAAATAACACTTCATGTAAGTTTTATAACCGGTTTTATTGTTACCGTTTGGCGTGGTCAGCTAGAATAAGTCCGTTCCACCGATCGCGGTCAAAACATTGTAATCCAGCAAAGTATACCTACTGTATCATTATTTATACTGCGTATAATCGGAAAACAGCACGTGTCTCAAGAAACGTTGATAAGAATGATCGTCTGCGTCTTATATTATACAAAGTTGTTCAAATCGATTCATCCGATAACCAACGCTTGGGCTTTTTTAGTCTTTGGGTTTTCAGTAACAAACAATATTGTCATTGTATTTAACGTTACAGTTACAAACGATACATTAAATACAACAATAATACCTAAAATTTTGTAAATGGTCACCGTACGCGTTCTCCCGTATACAAACACCCAGTTTCTTCAAACCGCTTATAGTGCAGCTTATATCATAACCTACGGATTCTCTGAGCACCCGGCCGATTCATCGATCGACGACGAAAATCCCGTTGCTCTATTTTCAACGATTCGTATTTTAAAAATCCGTGTCACGTTATCGATTAAATTAATTAATTCCGTTCTAAATTTCTAAAACTTGGAATATATTCAAGTAAACGATTCGATAACATAAATTAGTATATTATAAACTGTATAATTACCGTGTTTTGCAACCGTGCATAAAATCGGACGGATCGTCTTGAATAACCCTGCATTATTATACACGTGCGTGTACGTTCTCTGTCTCTATAACAGCGGTCCCCACTACGCGGCCCTTTGACACATTTTGGGCGGCCCGTACAAAAATGTCTAAAACTGATTTTACATTCTATACTTTTAAAGAGCAGATGAAATAAAATTCATCCGATTGTACCTTTAATTTATCTTATCTTATTATTCTTGTTTGTTTAATCCGTCGATTTTCAACTTTAACCGATTTACCAGTTTGACAGATAATTAGATAGGTACGAGCAAGAATGTATTTAAGAGAGTAATAAGTACTTTAACAAAGATATTTTTTTTTCAAGTCGATATTGCAAAAAAAAAAATAAAAATAATAATAATCGTATTGATTTACTGTATGCGGCCCGCGAGTAATTTCCGAAAATCGTAGTTGGCCTTTTTCAGAAGGCTGGCGGCCGAACCGCCGCCCCACAGTAATACACATATAGAAACTAAATATACGATTGTGCCGAATCGTGTTTTCTCGGCGTAATAGCTAAACGTGTGTATGCTGCGGGAGTGCAGGCGTATTGTCGGAGAAAAAAAAAACGCGTATTACTTTCCGAGATACCGCGGTACGTTCGCAATGCGCGTTTGCGGAACACCCTGTATAGTAATGGCGATAGGCGCAGTACGTGTACCGCGGTGTACGTAAGACGCGTTACGTACGGTCAGAGCCGTACACGGTCGGACAGGCATCGCGGGCAGAAAAGAGACGCGCCGAGCGAGAGACGGACACGCGGCCGCGGCCGACCGCGCGCGGTAGTGACAGATAGCCGCGGCGGCGGCGGCGGCGGAGAGATGCCCGTGCGAACGGACGGCGGCGCGACGGCAGCGGCGGCGGTGACGAAGAAATATCGTTTTCCGCGGGCGCAATCGATCAACCCGACCGCCGCGGCGGCGAGTGATTGGCGTTCAACGGCGGCCGAGACGAAGAAGGACTGCGCGCGCTAAGATAAATGAACTCCTGGAGGAGACGGCGGCGCGCGGAGCCGTTTGGATTCCGTATTTTTGCCGCGGCCGTAAAGTAATAATAATTGTCCAAAACAGAGAAAACAGTGTCTCTATAACCGATACGTAAACGCGTGCGCCTACCCTGTACAGGGTACCGGCCGGGCGACGGGCGGCTGCGGCGACGACGGCATTTGATATTGACATAATGAAAATTGATGCGGCGGCGACTCTACTCTCTCTCTCCCTCTATCACTCCCTCTCTCCCTCACTCTCTCTCTATCTCTCTCTCTCTCTCTATATATATATATCGGTTTCTCCTCTCGTCTCCTTTCTCCCCGCGAAAAACGGCATTTAACTGTGGCGCGTTCGCGCTCGGATTCAATTATTATCGCCAATTTTCCCGGCTATCTGTCGGCGCTGCCACTGCCGCCGCCGACGTTTTATTCCGCGCGAAAAGATTAATCGGTCGAGTCTTCTGCCCGCGCTTTCCGGCGGCAGACGTGTCCGTAATAAAAAAAAACTAAAAAAAAAAAAAAAAAATAGACGTACACAATTACCACTATATTTATTATACCTTCGATATTCTCGCGATTATACACACGAATTTATACTTGTTATTACGGAACACGCGGGTCCGCAAACCGTGAAACCTATCCCGTCGTTTATATTCTAATCGATATCAACACGCGACACATCTCGTCGGTAAAGTGTAAGCGATTGTCGTCGCAGATCAAAACTCACCCGATCAAAAAGTCGTATTGTTCAGAAAACAAACAAAAATCTGGGAAAGCGTTTTCCCGCAGTACAATAAATAAACTCGAAATGCACTTTTCTTATCGTATTACGTTATAATTTATATAGGTTATATAGGCTTTTAGGTATCCAAATTTTTATTTGAGATAAAAGTTTGAAACGTGCGAATTTTTATCTGAGTTATCTACGGGTTAAGGAAAATCCAACTAAATTTGACCAAACGTTAGTTTTGACACAAACTGATATTTTCCGGAATAAATTTAAACGTTTTCTTGTACGTTCTGAAACGATCTGATTACAGAATCGGATTCGTACATGTTAATTGTAAAAAAAAAACATTGTCTTTAACTCGTTTCTCCGTTTTTTTTTCTTCTTGGAATATGTGAGCTCAATCACATTTGTTTCAACCGTCCGAATAATAATAAAACCCAGCTGATTGTTTATAGAATTTTTTTCGTATATCCGGCCAAAATAAATCAAGTGGGAAACATTCAACAATGAAGGCTGTATTCCCGATTCGTGTCGTCCTAAAATGTTTTATTTTTTTGGAAATTAAATTTCGTACGCCTATAATTCTTTAATACATTCCTCGCTCGAAAAATCCTCCGGTTCTATCCCAATTTTAAATTCGTTAAAATGTAATCACGACTACGTGACGATTATTATTACGACACATTATATTGCAATGCAGTATGAAAACTGGATGTAAGAAAACGATAATTCGATAAATAGGTGTACTGATATTACTAGTATTATGCTCTCTTTGACCCAGTGACATGCATACACTGGCGCGACTATGAGTCGCTAGTAGTATCTAGTATAGATCTGTAGAGCAAATGAAGAGTTTGAAAAATAAATATCAAGAAAAATGTTTACATTCTGCACACGATAAGAAGAAGACGATTTGATAAAAAAACATGCACAGTCTTTGTGTCTGAATATAATCGTTAACCGATTTCACAAGCCCGATACAGTATAGTCAGACCCGCCGGAATCTTACGAAAACTTGATGATAATATTATCAATTTGGCGAATATTCCCTATAATATAATAATAGTGTAACACAATGTTCGTTAAATAACGTTCAATATTGTATTGTATAAATAGTACACGTATTATAACGATATTATGTCAGCTCTGCAGCCCCCGCAGCCTCAGTGCCGTGCAGGCCTTTCAGAGTTGCCGCAAAAGCGGTCGTCACCATGACGAGACGCCAAACCGCGATCATACCCCTAACCCCTCGTGTAGACGTCAAAGGTGCCTAAATCGCAAAACCGCGATTATAAGAGTAATACTGCTGTTATTGTACACATTTAGCGACTGATATATTCAAACTACAAATATTACTAGATGGCTAAAATTTAATAATACTTTGAACATTAATATACAGTACGTCCCACCGTGTTCGACAGATTATTCAAGCGCTGTTAGTATTACGTTGTTTATGATTTGTTTTTTTTTTTTGAAATCGGTTTTTCTTCGAGAGGGACATCGACATCGATTTGAAGAAAAATTACATTTTTATTTTTATTCCTCAAACATAAAAAGAAAAAAATTACTTTATTTATTCACTTTTGAAAATTTTAAAAAATTACCATTTTTGAAAAAAATAATATTCAAACAATTTTAATGTATCGCGCGTTCACATCCGATAAATAATTTCTTTGTTATAGTCGTTTTAATTAGGTGTGAAAACAATTTTAATAGGTATTCAATTATTATAACACGCTACATGATAAAAAATTACAATCGGCACGGTAATTATTTACCTTCTATTGAATATTAATTGTTTTCACGCCTATTTTTTAGAAATTAAAGCGGCTATAATTCAGCTAAAATCTATTAATCGAATATGAATGGATGAATTGGATCACAATTTTTAGAATAATATTTTTTTACAAAATTTTTTGAAAATTTGTCTAAAGTGAATAAATAAAGTTATTATTTTTTTAATGTTTAGCGGATGAAAATAAAAATGTAATTTTTCTTTAAATCGATATCTCCCTCAAAGTCAGACCGATTGAAAGAAAAAAAAATAAAAATATTTAATACTAACAGTATTAGAAAAATCCGTCGAACACGGTGGGAAACACTGTATTTATGACATAGACCTTATTTGTAATGTTGCAAACGTAAGCGCTTATTACTTGTAAGAGCGTCGTTCATCTGAGTAAGTGTACCTTTTTTCCACCCTAAAATAACCGCAGGCCATTTAAAGGCACATTTTTAAGCCTATTTGAGCGGTGGATACCCATTTTATCTTAAAATTATCATATAGATCATTTAAACGCGTTTTATACTGAATATATGGTATACGTATAAATACGTTAAGGGACTCTCGTATTGTCCGAAATAACCGCTCGGTACGAACATTTAACAGACTACCTGTTGAAAATGAATCCAAGGAATAATAATGGGAAACCAAAAAAAAAAAAAAAAAACAAATGAACTCAGATAGTTGTACCGATGTTTGATATAATCGAAGAAATCAAGGAATTATGACTGCCGTAGGCTGGTCATGCGCGGAGGAAAGAAGAAATTCTAAAACGCCGGATACAGTGTTGTATGCCAAGCGAAAAGAGACGTTCGGTATAGATGGGAGATCGAGTGAAGAACTGATGTTTGAACGGTAAAACTGGGAACCGATCGACATGGTTTAGCGACGGGCAGAACGGCATGCCACGACATTTGGTGGTGGACAACTATCAGATCACAAGGGTCGGACGCTACGACTGTTTCGAAAGAAGACGTGTTAGTTCAAACATTACGTAGTATATTGTTCCGATAAGGGGGTTAATGTCTCAAAGGGAAAACTAGCTGAAACCTTAGTTCACGTGTGTTAGTGTGTGGAGTATATATGTATGTATCTCAAATTCGGGCATTCAATGCGTACCGACGGTGTTTTGTTTAAATTGCGTATGCCGCTAAAAATCGAAAAATACGTTTTTTTTTTTTTGTATCGAAAAAATCAGACAAATTAGGAACACAGACTGGTAAAAGAGCGTATTTAAATACGGGGGAATCGTGTCGGTAATGTCGACTAAAAGATAACCACTATCCAGGCGCCCTTTTAAAATACAATTGAATCAACACTGATTTGTTAAAAGGGGCGTATATCACATTAAACGCGTGTATAATTTGCGTACAAGGTGTTGTGTGTACGAGTAACTCTATTGTTTTCCGCGATAAACATAATTAAAAAATTAGGTTCGTTTTATTTTTTTTTTTTCGGGAAAAAGTTAAATTCGATATTAATGCCCTTTTAACGAAACACCGTCGAAATAAAACGCAATTTCGTTATAAATTACTCATTTTTTTTTTTTTTTAATACCTATGGTTGTGTATACATGTTATACATTGGTCTATTGCGTAATTACGTGTTCAATTTCAAGTTCGCGTGAGCATTGCATTAATACCGGAGCGAGAGTCGATTCAAATTTGACAAACCGAATAGATTTATCAGCGCTCATTTACGTAGCGCCGTATTAAACGCGCGTTTTATATCATGCGACCGCATACGAATTGAGTGGACGTGCGCCGGCAACTCTGGTACGCAGACGCGGTCAGTACGACGCGGCCGACCCGCGAATCAAACATTTTCGTAAAATATATGGTCTACGCGTGCACGCACAATTGCTATTTCCGTTGGTATTGCGCGTCCCGGATGTCTATACACTTGCCGTGCCTGTAGAGTTTTCCGAGAAATTTTCCGTATTGCCCGCCGTATTGCGTATTTGGATGCGTCGTACGCAAAACGAGAAAATCTCTTTAACGCAATATTATATACGGGTGTGCGTAATGTTTTTTTACACCGGACTTTATTCGCGACTTTTAACATCTTATTTTTTTTTTTTTCTGTGTTTTTCTTCTTATTTTAAACCGTACGCGGCGACGGCGCAATTAAACGTATAAACCGATGTTATAAAATATCTCTCTTTTTCTTTTTTTCTTTTTTTTTTTTCCGTCATCTTTTTCTTCTGAAATGCGCGCAAACTGTAATAAAGTATATTGAACGCGGGGTATAATAACATTACGAGTATACGCCGAAACGTGTCACATTTCGCGACTACGACGCTGGTATAAAAATATCGCGTACTACGCGGTGTGCATACACACTATATAAAGTGTAAACCGTTTAGACACGATCTCGACAGACGTGTGAAATTACGCGTCGCGTAATAATATTTTAACGATGTACGGCAAACGCGAGCCGGTATTTAAAATTGTTGTACATCATTCGTTCGGTCTCATACGGCGCGGACCGCGGAAACGCGTCTTGTAGCGTTTTTTTTTTTTTTTTTTTCTTAAATTCTGTGTGGGAGAATGTGTTATCGATTTTACTATGACTCGCGCTTTTTTTTTTTCGCGTACTTTTCATTTTTTTTTTTTATTCGGTTTTATGCAGATCGAATTTTGTTCGGCTTCTTCGAAATACTCAAAAATTTGATACGACGATTTTTATGACATGACGTTATGTATATATGTATATATATATATATAAAAAAAAACCGACGATCAACGGAGCCCCGTCATTAAAGTCGAATATTTCCCGACTAAAATTGTGTTATATACTTCCGAAAAAATTGAGAAATATTACCATACAAATTGTAGATGGGGAGGTTTAAAGTTGATTTTGCACGTGGCCAATTGTCTTGCGTTGATATGGCCATGTCGAAACTACCTAAATCCAACGGTATTGTGCTTCGTGTTAACTTTAAACGATTTAACATAAATCAGAATAATGAAACACGCGGACATACGATATTAGAACCAACAAAAAAATGTCTAGTGAAAAGAACCTTATGTAATTACTAGGGCTCGGGATTTGTTTTACATGAAATCCACAAAAAAACACTTAAAAACGTCAAAAGAGCCTGGAAAATAGCGCTTCAAGTAAATATCATTAGATCAAATAGTAGAAGGGTTTTGAAGACCCTCGTCTAACGACTCTAAATTATTAA